TGCGTATGTTGTTCTTCAATAAGTGGTTACCTTGTGGAAGCAGAGATTGGTCAGTTCTTGATGTGGTACTGGGGGATTCTCAGAGTATTATCAAGTCCTGGTAGATGTGATAAGTTCTGCTAAGAAGGAAATTCAGAGTCAACAGCACGAAGTTCTCCACTTATTTTTTTCCAAATCATATTTTCCAAATGTGTTGACTGGGTGAACACACTTTGGAATCTTCCAGAGCCCCTGGAAAGTCAGGGGCACAACATTTTTCTTTCCATTGCACAAACAAGACATTGAAAAGTTAAGATCTCAAATCTAATGGTGTTAAGCAGAAAAAGAATCTAAAAGTCTTACTCCTCTCCAGAGAAGTCTTGGGTTTTCTTCCTAAGCCTCCATGTTTTTAATTAAGGTCTGAAATACAGCAGAAATGGATAAGCCAGTCCTTTGGCTTTAAGTTGGAAGGTTTAAAGGATAGGGCCAGGCTTTAAGAGTCAAGACCCAGAGATGTAGTCTTACTGTACCTCTGATCTTGAGCAAGACACTTTCCCTCTTCAGACCGAAGTTTCTTCATCTGAAAAGCAAGTGGTTGGACAAGTTGACCTCCCACTCAGCTGGGGCCCAAAGAGCAGAAACAAGAAATATGTTGATATCTACTTCTGAGTACTGGCAAAAAACTCTTTTGGTTTTAGGTTGGGAATGAATAAAAATGTCTTTGGCTCTTTGTTTTTCATAAACACTAACTACATAGGACTTAGGATTCAGCTTGAATAAAATATATCCAAATACCTGTCCCCTAGACCAGACATAGATTGCAGATGGATGGGTCAGATATTGAAGCTGTTAAATAAATATCGAACAAGTACATATATTAACATGATGCAGAAACTCAGGTATAAGAATATCTTATAGCTCTAGGAAATGTTGCCTGCTTGTTACCAAAGATTCTTATACATTCTACACCTAGGTGCATTCTGAATGCATGAGTCTATCCATCCATCCACCCATCTACCCACTCACCCATGAACTCAGGAACCTCTCAGTCTGTGGGAGGGAGAAAGGAACGGATGCCGCAACAAGGAGGTTAAGAGAAGTACCATAGGGCTCAAAGGAAGGAAGAGAGTACTTACATTTGGGGACATCAGGGACAGTTTCACGGAGGAACTGGCCTTTGGTCTAAGTTTCAAAGATTGGGTACTCTGTGAAGAGAAAGGGAATGTGATGGAGACAGCATAAGCAAAACTAAGGGATAGGAAAGTATTGTGTTTGTTGGGGGAACACTGAGAAGTCCACAAAGAAGTTCAGTTAAGCCTTGTGCAGTGGCGCATGCCTGTAATCCCAGTGGCTTGGGAGGCTGAGGCAGGAGGATGGCAAGTTCAAAGCCAGCCTCAGCAACTTAACAAGGTCTTAAGCAACTCAGCAAGACCTGCCTCTAAATAAAATATAAAAAAGGGTTGGGAATGTGGCTCAGTGGTTAAGTGCCCCTGGGTTCAATCCCCAGTATCAAAAACAAACAAACAAACAAACAAACAAAAGGTCAGATAATAAGAGAAGACTGAAGACACATGAGACTCTAGGAGTAAGGCAATTAACTAGAATCACCAGCAATGTCCTGGAGGACTAGACATCTTAACAGCAGAGAGTGTGAAGAATAAATAAGCCACATGGCAGGAGGGCTGGGGAGTAACTAGGCCCTGACTAGCACATTTTGTTACAGGAAAACACTGCCTGAATAAAACACAGAAAAGCAAAAGGAAACCCTGTGCATTATGTGAAATTTTACAACAGCCTCACATTTGGTCTCTGAGAGAGCTACAAGTATCTTTATAAAACTGGGAGAGTTTTATGTTTATATACAAGGAGACTTTATATACATAGGAGACTAATTAAGGGGTAAAAGGGAGGGGTGTGTGAAAGGAGTTCATTGTTTTTGTGTAGAACAACAGCCTGTCCATCTTCTTGCATCTGGCCCTTGTAGGCTACTTTTCTAGGATTGCAGAGATAGCAACATGGTGAGTGGAGACTGTTGCTGTGGCCTGGGCTACAAGGCCTTCTCCCCTGGGAGCTTCCATGAGGGCCAAGCACTGAGAAAAGGAGCAGAGGCCTCAGCTAGCATCTAGTCTTTGCTCCTCAATTAGGTGTGACTTGGGAGAGTTGCCCAAACTCTTTAGAATGGTGTCATTGAAATGTGTATGGTTAGAACTCATTACAAGAAATATGAAAAAAAAGAAACTAGCCATAAACCTTGACTCTCCCAGTCTGGCAGATGCTTTCACAGGTTATCATTTATTCTTAAAATAGATCCCTGGGAATTATTTTTCCTAGTTTGCAAAAAAAATTGAGCTTAGAGAATTTGAGTAACTTGAACTCAAGACACTGGATGACTTTGATAAGTTACTAGATGATCTTTGTGCTTTAATGGCAATTAAAACTCTTGGAGACAGGGATTCCTGACCGCCTGGGACTGTTGACTCACTAGCATGTATTTCTGTAAGGGTTTTAAAGTGGAAGAGGGATGGGAAGGCAATGGATAGGAAGAAGGGAGAGTTGGAGGAAAATATGAGGGAGTGGAGAAGAACAGAATCACTTTGCAAGTTTTATAAATGGATTCCTCAAAGATGGGGGAGGGAATAGCCGGCTGGAGGAAGGATCAGCTGGGTTGTGGGAAGAGCGGGCCAGGCCAACCTCACCAGGAAGGGATGGGCTCTGTCTTGTGGCTGGTGGACCTAGTAACCTCAGTGGGAGGTAAAGCAAATAATACTTTGTTGGTTTTGCTAAAAGAAAATAAAAGAAACCCAGTTTACTCCCTGAGGCTCATGTGCCTGGCCAGCTGTTTTGTAACCTCCAAGCTGGTCTGTGGTGCTTGGCTTCTAAGGTACCTGGAGTGTTCTAGTGAAGTGAAACCAAGATTTTCTAGTTGCAATGACCTTTTTCCTTCAGAGGCATAATCTATTTATATATAATGAAATATGAAATAATATCTTTCACACTTTCATTATGACTAATACATATCAAGGTCCAGGGAAGTCCCCCCTCCAGCAGTCATGATCTCTCCAGAAAAGTCCCCCCTGCAGCAGTCATGATCTCATTTTTGTCACCATTGGTTAGTCTTGACTATTCTAGAACATCATATAAATTGCAGTCACACAGGATGTTCTTCCCCTGTTTACTGTCTTTCGCATAGCTTCATCTTTTTGATATTTAGCACAATCTCAAACAAGCCTGTCACGAGGTTCAGTAGATCAATCATTTTCATCAAGGAGTAGTTATTCCATGATGCTCCGTTGTGTGACTCTAGCACAGCTTATTTATGAATTCCAAGTTTGGGTTATCATGAGTGAAGCCTTTTGTGGACATGTTTTCATTTGTCTTAGGCAAGTACCTCTGAGGAGGGTTGCTAGGTCACGGGATAGATGCAGGGTGTGCCAGGGTGGACGGGAACCAGCTAGCAAGATTTGCGCTCATCTTTTTCCAACTCTGCTTTCAGTGATGTCATGTTGTTGCCTTGCAATTGGCCATGGAAGGAGTATTTACAGCAGGGAAATCAGCAAATCAGGCTTGTTTTTTTTTTTTTCTCAGACAACCCATTCTTAAATACTTGCCAGTACACCATTCTGTAGGTAAATGTTCAACTCTGTGAGAAACTCTTCATGTCTTGAAGTGGCTGCACCATTTGACATTCCTGTTAGTGATGTACAAGAGTTCACATCGTCTCCAACATCTGGTATTATCAGTTTTTAGTTTTTGAGTGTATCTCAGTTTTAATTTGTATTTCTCTGGTGACTGATGATGTTGTGTACTTTCGCATGTATGTATTGTGGTGAGTCATTGGTATATCTTCTTTTCATAAAGTGTCTATTTTTTTGGTTATGTAAAAATTGGATTATCTTTTTATTACTGAGTGACAGAGTTCTTTATATGTTCTGTACTTAAGTCCTTTGTCAGATCAAGGTTTTGTGAATATTTTCTCCTGGTCTGCAGTTTGCCTGTTTGTTTTATTTTTTTGTGATCAGACATGTTTAATTTTGATCACATATAATTGCAAGCCTTTTATTTATGGTTCAGATTTTCTGTGTCTTATCTAAGGTATCACATCCTATTTCTTCTGCCTGAGTGGCCTTCTTATTGCCTCTCTCTGGAGAGCCACTCATTCTTCAAGGCTGCTGTGGTTTGAATTTGTCTCCCGATGCACCAGTGTTGGGAAGTGGTCCTAGTGAGGGTGATTAGGCCATAGGGCAGAGCAAATAGATTAGCACTTGAGCTTGGGAGTGAGATGGAAATAAAAGAGGGAGTTTGGTTCCCTCTTATTGTCTGTCTGTATCTTTCTCCTTGCACTGCTACCACAGGTTGACAGAGCAAGAAGGCCCTCACCAGATATTGACTTCTAGATCTTGACTTCCCAGCCTCCAGAACCATAAGCCAACACATTTCCATTCATTATAAATTATCCAGTCTGTGGTATTCTGTTATAGCAGCATGAAATGGATTAAGATGAGGCCCAACATAAAATCTAGGGAATGCTTTCTGGACTTTGACTAGAACCATTCTCAGTTCTGCACCCCCACTTAATAATTACTAATTAATTATGACCTCTTTTATCATGCTATAATTGTCTCTTTTTTTGGTCTCTCCAATCTGCCTGATTTAGAACCCCAGATGAGGACTGTGGGTCTTTGCCTTACTCCTCTTCTGCACCTGTCCCCTCTGTCATCTTCATCTGCACCCTGCTAGGTGTCTGACCTAAAGTAGGTTCACAGAAAATGCTAATTGATTGAGTGAATTATCTTGAATGTACCCTGTTGATTGATCATGAATCTCCAAGATTGACATCTTGGTTCTTTGATTTTCCTGGAATAATTGAGAGGATGAGGTCATTTATTTCACCAACCCAAAGTGAGTTTGAAAAATTCTACCAGTTTCTACCAGAGTCAGAGCCACTGAGGATATAAGTGGCTTGGAAAGGATAAAGATTGGGCAGGTCTCTGTGTGTGGGTGAGCACATGCATGCACTGGGAGGAGAGAGGAGAGGGTGTGTTCATGGAATGTAATCTGAACTGCATCTAAACTTTGAGACCTAGTCAACACAGCACTTGCTGGTGGTTAGATGAACCCGGGGTCAAGTACATTTACAGCTCTGTGACCTTAGGCAAGTGATTTCACTGCTTCTCAGTCCCTGTAGGTATAAACCAGGAGCACTAATATTACCCACCTCACTGGGCTGCTGTGAGAATTGAAGGCAGTGTGCATAAGACCCTTTCTCCCCTGGGGTCTAGGCAGCTCCTCTGCCAGGTTCTTGGTGGAGCGCTTGCTCTGTGGGATTTAAAGTGAGTGAGGACTCCCGTTTTCAGTGTGGTCTCTACACAGTTGTAGATGCAGTAACAGTTCGATTGTGCTAATTTACACAGAAGCCCAAGGGAAGCTGAATATGGGAGTGCTCAAGCATCCCACAGGAGCAATCTCCTCGCCCAAATCACAGGGACCATTTGTGTGTGTGTGTGTGTGTGTGTGTGTGTAGCTTTCCAGTTATGTGCTTTCGTATCTGTCACATTGTCGCCAGAATCAGCTGCGGTCAAGATTTCTACATCCCATCAACTCACAGAGGTTTGTGGAACGGGGATGGGACAGAGGTTGGCCACTTTCAGAAGTGAGTGCTTCCTTTGGGCGATGGGAAGGAGGCAATGACGAGTGCCACCCACCCACTTCACATCTCTTTGGCAGTTCGGTCTTAATCTAGAAGCAATAGTGGCGCCACCTCTCTCAAGTCGCTTCTCTCTGTGTCAAGTTTTCGGTGTTGTATTGGAGGGAGTGCCAGCACCACCACCTCCCCCCCCCCCCCCGCTCCCTGCACCCCGTTTCCCACACACTGTTCGGTGTTCTCTCAAGAAAGCACTGAGAACGGGAGTCCGGAGCTTGCAAATGGCAAGAACCTGCACAGGTCAATTGTCGCGTAGGTACGTAGTGTGTGCTTTTCGGGCTTCCTTTGGCGTGCATGCACTTTCCCCCTCGTTCATTTAGTATTAATGCATTTATCTGTTGGTTCATCCATTTATTAAGCACTCAGGCGAGCCACGCAGGCGTTGGAGACCTGCTCCGCCGCGGGTCTGGATCGCGAGGGTTAAAGCAGGCTACGCTCGGCGTCCCTCCTCCGCCCCCGCCGGGCGTGGAAGGCGGGAAGCGGCCGCGGCTGCGGCCAAAGTGGAACCTGCTCGGCGGCCGCTGCCGGCGCTGCCTTGACTCGCGGCCAGGCCTGGCGCGGCCGCCGGCTGTGGAATGTGTGAGCGCCATGTGTCACCGCCCCAGACTGTGGGAAAACGCTGCTCCGCTCACCTCCCAGCAGCTGCCTCGCGCCCGCCCGGGCGGGAGCCGGGAAACAGGAGCCGCCTGCTGCGGAGGACGCCCGGGGGCACTTCCGAGCGCTCGCCGCCGCCCGCCGCACGGCTCCCGCCCACACGCCCGGGCGGGCCGGACCCCGCGACCCGGGGGGGCTGGCCGCGGTCGGCGCCACCCGCGGAGACAGGGCCGGGAAGGGGCAGCCCAGCACGCCCTGTTTTTGCCCTCGTATCCTTCGTTGCTTTGGAAGGATGCAAGTGATCCAGAAAGGCCCTGTGCTGAGCGCTTCTGAGCGCTGACCTTAAGAGAAGAGCCAGGGATGAAGGGCTGGGCGCAGCGACTGTGGGTGGACAGACAAGGCCCTTCCCACTGGGGCTGTCTGATTACAGCACCTGCATCAGGCCCACGGATCAGTCAGCCCCGGGCGGGAGGCTCCCCACTGCCTGCTACTCCCAGATCAGAAACAGCTTCCCTAGGGCAGCAGCAAGAGACCAGCCGCCCCAGTGCAGGGTCACGCCTCCACTGCAGCCCAGAGACTGGGGTGCTGGGAATCACATGTGATATAAAGTCACCTGAGGCCAAGGGCTTCTAAGTCCAGCCACTCAGAGAGATGTACTCAAGGTCATCTTGCTGGGTGGCAACTGAGCCCTGTTGGACTCCAAGCTCAGAGTGCCTTCTGTCTGACCCCAACTCAACTCTCCTCTCCTGTCCTCCCCTCCCCTCCCTTCCCCTCCTCTTCCCTCCCCTCCTCTCCCCTCCCTTCCTAGGAGGTGCCTTCTCCACAGTCTAGTGCCCCAGATGAGTCCCCTGCCTAATGGAGTAGATGGGGATGAGGGCAAACCATGTGTCTTGGAACTCCAAGAGCTTCACCAAAAGTCATGCTGCCCAAGGCCCTAACCCTGTTACGTCAGCCTGTAGGAACTTTGAATCCTGGTTAGTGAAATCTCCAGTGCACTCCAGCCCCCTACCAACACTCTTCCATTTCCACATCTTGCTCCTGTTCTTCACTGGGTCACCTCCTCTTCTAGAGCCTTCCCAGTTGGGCTCAATCTGCATGTAGCTTCAGCCTCTCCTGGAGTCTGAAGTACTTGATTCCATCTCCTGTTTAGGTATTCATAGTTACCTATACTTCACCATCTCTATCTGTGCCCCCTTCCTTCTGCAATTTTGATAGGCAGAGACTGTTACTCTCTGTTCGAACTTTCACCAACAATATATGGGGGCTCTGTTTACATATGCTGCTCTATTTGTTGGCTGAAGGTACCAACAAATGAATATTGTCACTGTGATTTATCATGGACTGGGGATCTTATTACCAGATGTGTGGCCTTGGGCAAGTAATTTAATCTCTCAAACCCTCATTTTTCTGAGATAAACAGAGATAAATATTGGATCTAAAGTGATTTGTATCATGGTTGTCACATAGCAGGATTTTGCATGTTTGTCCATGTGTGTGTCTATATATGTATGTACACATATGTGTATCTATGTATATACATGTGTGTATACATACATATACATGCAGTCATGAGCAGTGTGATATTTTATATGATATTTTAGCAAATATATGTGTATGTGTGCGTGTGTACACACACACACACACACATATATATATTTACTAAAATATTATATACTGGTGGCTTAAACAGACTTTCATTGCCTCATAGTTCTGGAGGTCAGGAAGCCCAAGATCCTGCAACCCACTGGCCATAGTCCAGCCCATGGAGGCAATGGAAGGGGTGGTCATTGTGGAACCAGATGAGTGCCATATCTGATTCTGGTGGCCCAATAACCTACTGTGTGACTTGGCCCCAGCCTCCGTATCCTCATCTGGAAACCAAAATCAGGCAACTTGTTCCGTGGTGAGTACTTTTTCTCCTAGGTGGCCACTTTCTCTTTGCTCTCTTTCTCTAGCTCTCTCATGTCTCCTCTTATAAGGACACCAGCCCCACCTTTATGGCCTCCTTTAACCTTAATTATTTCTGCAAAGGCTCCATCTCCAGATACAGCCAACTTGGCGGTTAGCGGGTGAATCTTGGGGGACACAGTTCACTCCATGGCAGTGGGGAAAGAGTATGACTCAGTCTAGGAAGTCTCTGAGGATTGAGTGCTTAGGTTGGAGTGTGGTGGGCCTGCCTTGAGAGGAGAGCAGGATGGGCACAGATGCAGAGGCAGAGCAAGCCAGCAATGAGGAGCCAGGCATGGGCTCTTCACTCAAGAGCATGTGCTGCGTGGGAAGTAAGTTTGAGAAGCTTGGGGTGCACCAGATTACAGAGAACTTTTAATGCTGTGCTTGCGATTGATGTGTCTGAAAATAGCTGAAGAAGACTGGGGAGTGGAGAAGAACATGTTTTTAAATGGCAATGATAAGCCTTTGAAAAATGCTTCCCATGGCACCAGATGTAGGAAACCTGATTCTGGTTTCCAGTTGAGGATACTGAGGCTGGGCCAAGTCACACAGTAGGTTAGTGGGCCACCAGAATCAGATATGGCACTCCTCTGGCTGCACAATGACCACCCCTTCCATTGCCCCATGGGCTGGACTGTGGCCAGTGAGTTGCAGGAAATGAGAGCTGAAGCCAAAGTCACCTGGAGCCTCCAGAAGTGATCCAGATGAGACCCCTGACCTGGCTGAGCACATGAAGCTGACAGGGAGCAGTGGGGAGTGGGTTGGAATTGGGTCTCAAGGAATGGAGAGGATTCTAAGTATATGGGCAGGAAGAAAGAGGGACATTTCTTATCTTTTTGGGTATTTTGGCTGCTGTTCTGAAGGCAGTTGAAGATGAAACCCCAAACTATGCTGTTAGGTTCATGCTTTCCATAGTGATGCTTCAGATTTGACTGAAATGCTGGGGGCACTCCAAACAAAGGAACACTATAGACAGACTGTGAGTAGTTTTTCTGATGTGTCAGAATCTATGGGGCCAAATTGTAGGAAAACTAGCCATTTTCCTGATGCAGAAACCAAGGGTCAGAAAGAATAAAAACTGTGTGGCACTGTCACACAGATAGTAAGTGGCAGAACTGGTTGACTCAAAATCCATTTGGCTTCAAAATGGGTGCTCTTACCACCCCAGGATTCTGACACTAGCCCACCTTGACATTTGACGTTGGGTACCCACGTGGTAACTATATTTTCCAAACCTCAAATAGGGACACATGGTCTCACAAGTGTAAAGGCACTTAAGAGGACAGGAGACTAGAATGTTTTAAATTGGGACCATCCCAGCAAATCCAGGACATCTGGTCATCATAACTATCTGGGGGCTTCCCACACCCCTGGCACAAGGCAGGCTTTGCCATTTAATAGGCCTTCCCATATCCTGAATGCCCAGGGTCTATTTTTTGGTTGAAGCACATGCTACAGACAAGTGAGAGACACTTAAAAAGATCAAGCAGCTGGAGAGAGATTGCAGTGGGCATTCTTTTTAGAGAGGCCTTGGCAGGCGAGAAGGCAGGGCAGTGGTGAAAGGTCAGAAGAATTATCCATGAATTCTGGGGCCCAGGAGGTGTCAGAGCTGTGAGCTAGGGGACTTTCCACCAGCATCAGGCATGTAGCTCCCCCCTGGTCCTCTCCCCGCCTCTTCCCCCAGCTCTTCTCTCATTGGAAGCTCTCCCTCCTGCCTCCACTGGGAGCAGAAGGCTCTGCAGCTGGCTCATGGCACCTCATGGAGGGGCAGCTGGCTTCTGGGGAGGGAGACAATTTGCTGCCTCATTGTGTGGCTGCATTGAACCTGCTGGTGTAGAATGGGCCCAGCGATCATAGGTTGTGGTAGAATTATGGGAGCCTGGATATAAAACTTCCGTACACTGTAAAGAATTGGACACGTGGGTGCTGAGTTTCGCATTCAGAGTTAATTTCACATTGAAATTGTTAGAATAAAATGCCAGTCTGAGGAGAGGCCTAACAGCAGCAATTTGAAGTTTATGTGTTTGTCTCACAATGGTACAGTTGCCTGCTGATTCACAAATATAGGGAGAAGAAAGGAGAAGTAAGGTGTAAGGTAGTGTGAGTATGTGTGCATGTGCGTGTGTGTGTGTGTGGTTACATGTGTATGTTTCTCTGTGAGTGTACGTATTAAGAAATAGGAACGTATGGTCTGATATTTGTTAGAAAATTCATAATGAGAATTAAGGCTGAGCCTTATAGGATATGTGATCCATTCTTTTCACTTTACAGGTGGAAGCACTAAAGCCCAGACAGAAGTTAAGTTTCCAAGGCCAATAGATGGACAGTGGCCATATTGAGCATAGTTGCCAGGTCTTCCTGTCTGAGCCTAAGGCATCTGCTGCCAGACCATACTCAGTCGGATTGTACAAACTACCCCATGCAAGGAGCAACAGGGGACTCAGAGGGAGAGGAGATATAATGTCTAGGGTCAGCATCTCCAGGCTAACTGGGACAGCCATGCCTGCAACAGTGACCCAGCCAGAGAGGAGACCCAGACAGTACTGGCTGGGTGGTGAGATCCAGGGAGATAGCCCAGGGGACTGTGAGAAGTGGGACATGGGAACAGTCCTGCAGATGAGGGTGGCTGGGGAAGACTTGACAGAATAGCTGAAGGAGTGAACATGGTGAACATGGACCCTGGAATGATAAAAAGCAAGCGATAAAGTAGCACAGGCTTCAGGGATGCTCAGTGGTCCAGCTACTGCCTAGTGGTTAGTCAGGCTTTTAACAGCATCTCTACTTTGGATTTTTTTTTTTTTTTTTGATACTGGAGATTAAACCCAGGGTTGCTTAACTACTGAGCCACATCCCCAGTCCCTTGACCTTTATTTTAATATTTTATTTTGAGACAGAGTCTTGCTAAGTTGCTTGGGGCCTTGCTAAATTGCTGAGGATGGATTTGAACTCATGATCCTTTGGTGTCAGCCTTCAGAGTCTCTGGGATTACAGATGTGTGCCACCATGCCTAGAGGATTTTTTTTTTTTTAAGATGGGGGTTTCACTATGTTACTAATGGTGGTGTCAGATGGTCTTTCCACCTTAGTCTCTTGAGAAGTTGGGACCACAAACATGAGCCACAGTGCTCTATCTCATCTCTATCTTGAGTTCAAATGAACCAGTACTTTGCTTTTCCTGAAAAGTCTAAGTTAAAACCGATACTTCTAAAACCTCTCTGCAATGGGTTAAATGTCTGTGTCAATGACAGAGAGCATCATCAGTTAATATCTACTTCTGAATGAGCCCCAGGTGTGAGGGAGGCCACTCACTACGTGGTTGACAAAGCTATTTGTCAATCTGTGTTTGGGCCTACTGCATATTATTCTTCCGAAGCATTTCAAAAATTTCTTTCTGTAGTTTCTCTTGGAAAAACCTATTAACAAGCAGTTTTCACTTGTGCTATGCAATAAGGACCCTTAAAGTTACTCATATCATTTTCTTTTTATCTGGAACCCTCTGGAGATCCAGGGACACTGTTTGATTGATTTCGACCCCTGCCATAGCACCTCCTTTGAGTTCTTTGCCCAGAGTATGTTCTGAGGGATCTCATGTAGATTTGAACTGATGATCATATCAGGTTGATTCCTAACATCAGCCAGAAGAACTTCACATAATTCAAAGATGTGGCATGTCCAAGTTATCTCCAACTCTCTGGCCCCTCCATTTAAGCCTCTAGCTGTGAGCCATTGGATCTATCAGCACAAAACTGTGGTTGTATGAAACCTCAGCTAGACTCCTGTAAGCAATGCCACCTGAGGGGGGTTTCCCGAGAAAGGTGACTGAGTCTTACTTAGCTTGTACCTTTATGCTTATTCAGTGCCTGCTTGGTACATAGTAAGTGCTCAATAAATGCTTATTGGATTAGACTGAAATGAAACACAGTTTCATTAGGTTATTTCTGGCCTAACTTGAAGATAAGAAAAAGAGAAAAAAATATATAATTTCCTGCTCTGGAAACTGTACTATTAACTTTTTTTCTTCCAAGGTCAGTGTTTCTGATTCCTATTTCTGATCTCTGTATGTCACACAGGAGTGACAACTTCCCTGTTACTTCAAAGTCTGTTTCTCTTATCTAGACTGATTTATTTTAATTTTTAAAAGCACAGATTCATCTTTGATCTATGTACGGTAACGTATTTGGATCGATAAGATGTTTGCTCTCAGTTTCTTCATTTAAACAAGCTTTAATTGGTGTGTTCCCAACTTGTTCATTTCATTCACCCAGAAAAAAAATGTTTGACCCAGAGTTTATCATGGAAACTTGCATTAGAGACAATGTCTACATCCTGCTGGGTATTTCATCTTTACTTTATTAGGGTCAGTTCCTCCCCCATTATTTGGATGATAATTTATCTAAGAATATGATCTTGGGCTGCATTTTCATTCATATGAATATTAACTAATCCAGATGAACCACACTGGAATGTAAATACTGTGGCTGGAAGGCAGGATCAAAACCATTCCCTGAACAGAAATGTTAATCCTTTTATTGCCAAGGGGAAAGAACAGTTTAGCATGTAGGGCAACTGCAAGCATTTTTACATTAAGCAGAATCTTGTATCTGTTTTGTGTGATTGAGACTGTCTACAAGTAACAGGTAAAGGCCAAAGGTCTATAGAATTTCTAGAGATCCCTGTTTAAATATCAGTCCTATCAAAGAGGTTTGCAGAAATCACTGTTCTGATGATGGTCACAACTAAAATCAAATGTAGTGTTTCATCCACATTAACTATGTCAGGGGTTAAGTACTTGTTTCTCTATTTGTCTCTCTCTATATATATGCAGATTGTATAGGTTAGTGTCTCATTACTGCAATGAAATACCTGAGGCAAACTAACTTTATTATAAAAAAAAAAAAGAGGCTTATTTCGCTCACCATGTTGAAGTGTAAGGGCACGGTGCTGGGTCAGTTCAGTTCTGGTGATGACTGTCTTGTTGCCAGAGTTTCCAGTTTGATGATGGCACCACATAGCAAGAGACAGGGTGTCTGGGTATCTGGTCTTTCTCCCTCTTCTTATAAGACCACCAGGATTAATCATGGGCTTCACCCTAGTGAGCTTATCTAAACCTAATTGCTTTCCAAATGCCCTAACTCTAAACACAATAGTCCAAGTTTCGACCCTCTTAATACTATGAACACATGGCTTCTGGAGTTAAATCCTTGCACAAGATGAGGGCCGGGGGAAAGCCATATTCATGCCATAACACATCTGTAAGACTTCAGGGATGTGTGTATGGTGGGGAGTGCTGCTCGTGCCTGTGTGTACAATGTGGTGGTGGGTGATGGGTCTTGAGGGGTTGCACAAAATAGCAAGAGAGAAACTTAGTTTAACTAATAGTCTAAAAATATTATAAAGGTTTACCTGGGTCCAAACTCTAGATTTCTTCTAAATATCAAGAAATTGGCCTTTCCTCCCTTAAAGAAAAAGTCCATCTTTTTGATTTGTAAGAGTGTTTGGACTTTCCCAGGATACTTATGCCATTGGATATCATTTAGATGGGCTGCCTTGGAAAGCTTGCCTCCTTCCTACAGATGCCAAAATGAGGGACTACAGGACATAAAACAGCCTGGGGCCCTTGGGGATTTAAAGGGCTCTGGGCTGACCTCTTAGCTACCTTTTTACCTCCTCCAGCTTAGGCCAGTCTGGTAGGCCTGGTCTAACACAGGCTACTTCCGAAGTACAGGGTTCCTTGGGTTAAATCAATATTTTGAGTGATTTTTTTTCCATCTGACTAATCAGTTATTGGATTAGATTGATCTAGAACCTTCTGGCTATTATAGTACTTATCTGTCTCTGCCCCTGAGGAAAGAATCATCTTCATCATCATCTTCATCATCATCATCATCATCAACACACACACACACTCTCTCTTTCTCACAGCATCTTGAAGTTTTAGTGAGACACCTTAACTTATTTTAGCAAAACATGCAATTAAATAAAATTAAAGCTTCCAACTGTTTTGAGATGAATTCTGGTAGCATTAATGGTACTGGATTTTATAAAAAGAAATTTCAGTTATGGCAACCACATGTACAAAAGCACAACTGGGGTGGATGAAATTGGAGTCTTTGCTGGGTTAGATCAATATTCCACCCTAGCTACACATTCACCAAGGAACTTTAGAAAAGTACTGATGACTGGGTCACACTGGAGACCAAGTAAATAGACTCTCAGGGGATAAGACCCGAGTATTTGTAGTTTTCAAGGTTCTTTCAGGAGATTCTGATGTGATGAGCCAGTGATGAGAACCAGAGAGTCGGATAAATGGAACTAGGGAATCAGGAAAGTGAGGACATGCCTCGCAATAACAGGCTGACGCGTCTAAGTTTATAATTTAGGAGATATCTTTAGGTGTCAGCTAGATTGGACCTTGATTATGTCTCCTTTTATAGAAGGGAAACTGAGACTCAGAGCCCATTTAGGGGCTATAGGGCAAGAGAAAGGAAGCACGTGTTCTAGAAATTAGTATCTTTTGCTTGTGCCTCTCTGCAAAGCTACCTTGAAAATTAAGAGAAAAGACCATAGCATATGTGAATACCTGGGTTCAGTCTCCATCACGCCTGTGCATGCGCGTGCGCACACACACACACAGAAAAGTGGGGGATAGGCATGCTGTGTTTCTAACTATCCAATTATTTAGATCACTGGGAATGGTTAGAACGCTGGAAATGGCTCCTGGTGGTGAAAGAGCACAGCTCTGCAGCTCTCGGACCTGAGGAACACAAACAAAAAAGGTGCCACTTATTAATCTCTGCTGCTTCTCTCTGAGCCTGTCTTCCCATCTGTAAAATAGGAATTAATAATAAATTTGTCCTGATATTATTGCAGATAAGAGGGTAATAGGAAAAACATGTCACAGGTGCCATTGTGTATGCACAGAAAATTAAATGGTAATTATGGGGATTAACTGCATTTAGGAAAAACAATATTGAGTTTTACGTAAAAATAGCTGCAGAAGGGATTAAAAAGATGTCTTGGAGCCTAAAGGCACGAAGTATGGTAATCTTGCAAAAATTGTTTTTGGTTTCCACTGATCGGAAACGCAAATAAACCCCAACTGGAGCGCATCTTACTCAGGAATGAATAGATTTCCAATCTGTGTTTTCTTGCTTACCATGGAAAATATGCAACCCAAGGAAAGCACAGGTGGTTAAACTGTTCAGTGCCTCTATTTTTATCACGTGCAGAGGACGGTACGCATTCAAACCCAAATATTTTACTTAATAGAAAACGAAGACTAATTTCTCAAGGTTAAGAGGCTCCCGGTTTCCTGTGGCAAATTTAGGTTTTCGTCCATTGGAAAAGCTGTCCGGATCCAGGACAGACTGAATTCCAAAGCAAAAATAAAAAGCTCTCAACTAGCATTTTAAAAGAAGCATTTCTTTAAATTTAGGATTTCTCTATTTTATTTATTTTTTTCTTTCTCAGCTATCTCTTCTTTTCCCCCAAATCAGGTCACAGCAGGGAGGAACGTCACCTCCCCAGTTGAAGGTTGGATGTTTGTGAAATGAAGCCGAGACCCCGTGTGTCCCTAGGGAAGGTGACGCCCCCGCTCTCCCGGGCTTGTGCGGACGTGTCTCGGGCGTGACCTCTGAGCAGCTGCGCCACCCGCTCAGCCTCGAGGTGGAGAAACCCGAGCTCCAGGCAAAACCCCCATCTTTGGCAAGTCCTCCGCTGTTTCAAGACGCTGCCCGCGGCGGGGAAACGGGCCGCGTGCCCGGGGCTGGGCGGGGGGGGGGCTCTTGCCTGGCCTGACATTCCTAAAGGGCTGAGCGTCAGCTCACCTCGCAACCGACTTGTTACTGGGGCTGGGGATTGGGGTTGGGGTTGGACCAGAACAGAGGGATGTTCAGGGAAGCAAAGCAGAGAGCTTGGCTCACCTTCTGCCCTCGGGGGATCTCCAATTTTGAGATTTCTTTTTTCTTTATCCCCCCTCCCCACCCCACCCCACCCCACCTCCTACTTTTTTTCTTGCAGATTTTATGAGATTATTTATTTAGACCCTGACAAAACAAAATCTTCCTGTTATTCTACCCCTGGCCCCAACACTGATAAAAGTTTTTCCAGACTGTGCAGCCTCTACCAACCTGAAGCACTGGGCTACAAAGCTGAACTTGACTCTGAATAGTGGATTCCTGTGGAGGTGGTTAGTTCAGAGAGATCACATACTAGTCAATAATATTTATTTGAGGGCTTCTTCTGTGCTAGGCACAGTTCTCAGCACTTTCATGTAATAACTCATTTACTCTTCACAACAATCCTATGAAATAAGAAATTTTATTCTCCCCACTTTACAGGCACCAAAACTGGCATAGAGAGGGTTAGCAACCACATGGGGTGGCAGAGCTATAACTGGTAGGTTGGGCTGGGGTTTAGATTTCTGCAATTTAACTCCAGAGCCTGTGCCCATTCAATGAATGTTGTCCTGAAGACTTCCTCTCATCTCCACCAGGCAGAGGAAGGAGCCCTGGGAAGTTTGAATGTCATACATGGTAAGTCAGGTGCTCTGCTTTGGTTAGAAAGAGCTGGAAATTGTCTCTGTTTGGGACAGATCAGCAGTTTGTTAATTCTCCTCTTGCTGTTCTCAGAAAGGGCCATGGAGGAACTTGACCTACTGAAGGTGACAGGAGATAAAGACTCTAGTTAGCCACCCACTGGGAACTTATCTGAAAAGAGGAGAGAGGGGTGGGAGAGGGAGCTGCCACCTGACTGCCCAGCCATGCTTCACCTGCCAGTTCAGTCAGGGGCTGTGTCTAACTTTTGTGGCCCTGGGAAAATGTTGGGAACCTGGAGGGCCCCATGCTGACACTCTGAAGTCTGGCAGTGCACTTACTGATGGACAAAGTTGATCGAGATGACCAGGAGTTAGGAGTTGTGTTCCCTCAGTGGTATGGAGGTGTGCGGCATGGACTGAGTCAGTAGAGGGTGCTTTTGGGGAGAAGACAGTGGAGACCACGTTTCTGGGATGGTTTGTAGGCTAGATGGGCCTCCTTTCCCATATACACACCAAGGCAAGTTCCATCCCTCTGTCTGAATGTCTCTCTTGGTTAATTCTTACTTTTGGATTCTACTACCTACCTCTCTGCTTCACAGTTCCCAAGACACCATTCATTGCAGCTTTTATACCCAGCACACCTATATCAAGTCAGGCAGTAAGAGACTCTCCCCATCCCTCTTGCACACAGTGCACAGCTGAATGTGGAAAGTGAATCCCACTCTCCTTCAGAGAGCGGGGTCAGAGTACAGGGCAGTCCTGGGGCTATACCTGGGTCATCCTGACTGTTCCTGGGTGTACCCAGGTGAACCCTCAGAATACAGTATTTCTTCAGAATTTCTTCAGGTGGGTAAACTGATGTGATAGGACCCTTTGCAGGTTAATAAGTGTAAAATGTCTGGCTCCCGGTAAGTGCTCAATGTATATTGGCTTCTGCTTTTACTGCCATTATGATGCTACCCCTCTAGGCAGGTAACTCTGCCTTCCTGAATCTCATTGTCCTCATGTGCAAGGTTGAGGCAATACTATCTGTTTTATAGGATTGTTGTGAGGACTAAATAGTGTTAATTACTACTGTCAAGTTTGCAATAAATCACAGTGCTTCATGGGTTGCTTTAGCCTAGTTTATCTCCCAGGGGATGACTTTATTTCCAAACAGAAGACAGCTTCTTAGAAGAGCTTCAAAATATTGACCCTGGCTGGTGAGGGCATTTGGACACTTAACTCATCCAGCATCCCTTTCCCAGCTGTGAACTTGTATGATAATAACCACCTCTAGGAATCTCCAAGATGTTATGAGGAGAAAATATGTGATAATATACACAGCACTTTGAGCCCCTCTGAACAGAGACGCCCGTAAATAGAAGGTGGTATTATAAGGTGGAGTAATGGCTGGTGACTCCCCCTCCCTTTTTTATTTAATTAGGAGAAAACTAGTAATTAGGAAGCATGGCCTTGTGAAAGCTGTGGCCTGGGAAATAGTTCTCTTGGCACCTAATCAGAACTGTGACATGGCACAAGTTTCTGCCAAATGTGGCAGCAGGAGACCTCGCCCCGGGCTCAGAAACAGGTCTGGAGATCATGAGGAATTCACTGTCTGGAGTGCAAGGCCCCGAGGTGGCTGACGCAGAGCCAGCTGGGGAGCCTCCTTGGTCTCCTGCTCCAGAGGAGATCCCCACCCACAGGCCTCAGTGGCCTTCATCCCTGGGGACTCAGAGTCCATCTTATCTGCAGGTTACAGCTTGCTGCAACCCCAGAAACAAGCTGTCCCACCATGGGGCTCGTAAAAGATGTCTGATCTGGTTTGGTCTCTGATTCCCTTGCTGGGACAAAGAGTTCTCTTTAAGAAGGGCCAGTGTGGAGGAGGCCTTTGAGCCCTAGCTAGCCCGTGTGCCTCTACTCTGCAGCAGCCTCAGCTGGAGCGACTTTCCCTCCTCCCTGCAAATCCCCTAGGTGCTGCTGCAAGGTGGCCTTGGCCGGGAGGCCTCCCAGTCTTTCCAGTTCCATTGCACTCAGGCCTTCTCAGCTCTGTTTGGTACAGTGTGGACTTTTGCTTTTTGTCCTTCAACTCTCCCACCTCTGCCTCCATGATGCTGGATGGGGTGGTGATGGAAAGTAAGTTGGGGAAGCAAAGTGTTCCCAGCCCAAGCTCCAGCACAGTGATGTCACAGGGAACATCAGCAGCAGGATTGCTGGTGGGCTCTGACTTCCCCTCACCACAATGACGATACAGGCTAGAGGCTTTCTCATAAACCCCGAAGATAGCAGTTCCTTTTTTTCAGTTATGAATTATATTTTAAAGGTGCAGAAAATATAAGACACATATCACTCTGATTACCAGTTGTTGACATTTCTCATCTTTGCTGTGGATGTCTTCCTATGTATTTTTAAAAGTTTTCAATACAGCTAAGTTTTCCACCTCTCCAGACCCTCCCTGTGGGTCCCCACTGGCCTGTCATTTACCTGCACCTGTGGATGGTACTCAGGGGACTGGAAGGCTGTTGATTTTGTGCACATCTTCCTCACCCACACAAGTCCTCTCAGGAATGCCTCTCCACTCAGTCTCTTGTGGTGTCTGTGGCCGCCATTAACTTGCACTTGGACCATTTGCTCCTATGGACATTTTAAAGTCTTGGTCAGATCATATGGCCCTTTGCTCCAAGCCTACACATGGCTTCTGTTTCAACTCAGAGTAAAATTCAAGCCCTGAGGACCAATAGGACCCTATGTGATAGTAGCCTACTCTTTGCCTCTCTGACCCCATCTCCCAGGATATAGCCTTCTTCCCCCCCTCCCTCAGGGGCAGCCACACTGCTCTTCTCATTTTTCCTGGGACTTACTGTGGGCAAGGCTTCAGGCTGTTCCCCTGACTGTCACCCTCTTTCCCCAGATACCTACAGGGCAAAACTCCATATTCTTCCATTCATTGCTCACATTTCACTTCTCCCTGAACTCTAGGCATAAGGCACTTATAAATATATCCCTCATTCCCACCATTCTCTCCCTTGTCTGGTCTAATATTTATTTTTCCATAGCAGGTATTTTCTAGCAAATTGTATACTTTACTTATTTATTATTTGTTGCCTATTTCTGCCTACTACAATGTAAGTTCCCCTAGAGTAGGAATTTCTGTTGTTGAGGCACTAGTACTTCCTTCATTTCTACAGTAGTGCCAGGCACACGGGGGCTCTACAAAGATTTACTGACTGATTCAATAAGCCTATGGATAAATGCATCTGAGAATTTCTTTCTGGAGACGTTCCAGAATTCGTACAGATTTTCCAGGGTGTCTATGACACAAAAAAGGGTAGGAACCACTGACATGATCACCCATCAAAGTTTGCTGACCTCCTCTGCTTCTCGGGAGTCTGCCTGATGAAGATTATGAGCTTTTTATCTTTCTCCAGTTTGTGTCTCCCTGGAGAGCTAATCCTGGCAGCTACTGAGCCCTTCTCTCTGAGGACTGGTGGTAAGTCTCCCTGGATCTAGCCCTGGCTGGACTGGGTAGGGAGCTGGGAGGCTTTGGTAGAGAGTGTGGGCAGGAGCTCTGGCAGTGGGCCTGCCTCAGAGAAGCTGTAATTTTCCTATTCCTTCTGTGGAGACGTCTGGGAGCAGAGGCTGAATGTGGCCACGGCCTCTTGGGCATCCTTGGGGGAGGTAGGCAAGATGCCCAGAGCAACAGGAGCTGCTTCCTGCTTTGCAGGCTCCACACTAGGCAAGGAGCAAGACCAGGAAATCTTGCAGGAGCCCCAGCCCAGGAAGAACAGACGCTAGCTTGTGATGGGAGAGAGCGAACACAGATGAGTGGGGGGAACCTGGAAAGCAAAGAGACACAAAAGGCCATCTGGAGGTGATAGTGGGAGTGAATTGGAGGTGAGTCAGCCAGCTCACAGGGCAGTTAAAAGACAAGTGGGTAATTGTGGGTGCAGTCGGCGGGTCACACAGAAAATGAGGAACAAGTGGTTAATTGGGCCCACAAGCCCAGGATCCCGCCTATAATTAGCAAATTGCAGGGCTTTGATATTTGCTTTGGTAACAACTTGTGTAGTAAATTGCAGGGAGGAAAACTGCACCCCCAGCCTGGGAGGTGACCCTGTGTCTATGTTCCCTGAACCATTCTCTTACAAACACTGGCAAGCAGCACACACATGAATGTACCCCAGTGATGGGGCTAGGGCTTGCACTTTTCTGCAGGTTGACATCATCTTCTGATGCTTTCTGTGTTCCTCTGTACCCCATGCAGAAGTTTTGCCAATCAGGGCTAAAGCTGAAACCTAGTTTGCTGGGGATATGCTCTCACTATTCCTCTGCTTCCTTAAGCCATAGTCCCTGGGGTAAGAGACTTTCTGGACAGAGACATGCCATTGGAGTGGCCATGGGTAATTCCCATGTGAGTGCCATGTGAGGAGGAGAGACAGCATTGTTGAGTTGTATTCATGAGGTTGGTTAATGCCAATCCCTGATCAGGCACTGGCCTTCATGGGTTTCAGCTCTGCAGGTAGCTCTGCAGATATTCCAACTAAAGTGCAGACTAGAAGCATACAAAATTTACACTGGGATTATCCATGGCAAAACCCTACACATGGTTGAAATGCAGAGATGAATGAGCACAGATGATGCGAAAATGCCAGGAGCCCTGGGTTTGAAATTGGACTCATTCTTGATGGATCTTGTGCAGTTAAATATTTATACATCATCTTTGTCATTTATGGGTCTGTTTCTATTGACTGCTTTTTCTTTTAGTTATAGTTATTTATGTGTCTAGTAACTTTTTATTAGATGGTAGACATTGTGCTGTTATATTAAGTATTTGTACTGTGCTATCTTCTTTTAAAGAGCATTAGGCTTTGTTTTGGCAGGAAGTTAAGTCATACAGGGATGAGTTTGATCTCTTTGAATCCTATCTTTAAGTTCTGCTATGAAAGGCCTCGGTGAGTTTCCCTGCAGGAATAGTTCAGCTACTTTATTCACATGTGACGACTCTGGGTTCTCCATGGAGTGCCCAAGGGATCAACAAGGACTCTTCACCTTTTCTGGTTGTTGCATAATCATTTCCTCACCTTGTGAAAGCTCTGGATTATTCCGTTTACAACTCTTGTCATTGTTAATAGATTATTATTTTGTCCTGGTCTTGTAGAGTTTCACTGGGCCTCCAACTTCCCAAAGATTCAAAGGGATATTTTAGCAGATTTATGGCTTCCTTTTCTGTGTATCTCCTTCCATTCTGGAATTGTGAGCCTCCCCTCCTAGCCACTTTATCTTTCTCACTCTCTGTTCTCTGTCTCCTCAACTTAGTGAAGCTACAAAACTGTGCCCATAGCCTATAAATTGTCTCCAATCCTAAAGCCAGGATTGTTTGGGGCCTGGTCTTGTTGATGTCTTACCAATCAAAAGTTAGCATTGCCCATTTCCCAATGTCTGAAAACAGTAGTAATTCTGTCAAGACTGGAGGTTTAAATCTTATCAGGTTAAAATTCAGTCACCCCAAATATAGAAAGAGAATATACTACTAATTTTTACTTAAAATTCACTTATGATAAATAATGTACATAATGAATCTGAAAGCACCTACAAACATTTAAAAATTGTTTTTGGAACAGTGTGGTAAGTCTCTTCATCACCATCAGCATTTCCTTACCTGACTGGATCAACACTGGATTCGGCGGGAACACTCCTTGTGGACCAAGTGTGATGGTGTCAGTCATGAATGAGACTGGATGTGTATCCCTCCCTGGCTACACCCAGAATGGGTCTCTATACTGTCTTTATCATCATGGGAATAATTTCATTGACTGTCACATGTGGTTTGCTGGTGGCTTCTCACTGGTGAAGAGAAGTTACAAAATATGCCTAATGGATAGCACTCACTGGAAGTAGGTAGCCTGTGCTTACTAAGCTGTCTAGAAAGCTCTCTCTCTCAAAATAAATAGTATTATTAGTATTAATGAAGAATCAGTAATAAGGTCTCTTATAATCATCAGAGAGCAACACTTCTCCACAATGCCATCAGTTCTTCAAAACTCTTAACAAGTCCAGACATCTCCAACTGTAACTGCTTTGTATGAAATGCAAGTTTGATGAATCTTATTTTTGCATACATTGTGACATAAGTATTCTGGTTTGTGACTCAGAGTATTGTCTATCAAATCTAGAATAAAAATGCTCATTTTCCTTTGATACCAATAATAGCAATGGATTTAGCATTTTCATGAAATACAATTTAAAACTGTAAGGGATTTGTCTTAAAAAAAAAGATAAAGTTGGATTGGCTCAAATGCCTAATGTTACAGATAAGCAGACTGAGCCTTGGTGAGAAGAAGTGAATTTCCCAGTCCTTGATGACCTCTTAGTAAAAGAATGAGACCGAAACTCAGGCGACCAATTCCTAGTCTATAGGCATCCGTTCGTTCAGCTCATAATTATTGAGCATCTACTAAGTTCAGAGTACTGAGTTACTTGATATATGGACAATATATAACATGCTCATTCACAGAAACATTTAAAAATTGATTTTGGAACACTGTGGTAAGTTCCATAAATCAGCATATAATTTTGAGCTTTCTTGATTCTGACAAGCTTAATCAGAGTAGCCTCCATTGTCCAATGCAGAAATGCAAAAGGCTTTCAGCATTCAGGTCCTGTGGGATATTTTGAGACATATGAACATGTCAGGTAATTACTGTGGTTTTATGGCACTGTCAGACATGGTTATAGGAAAGCTAAGGATTTACTCTATATGCAGCCATTTCAGGGACCCAACGCAAAATGGATAATAAAACTTTAAGGAAATCGTTCATTGAGTTGCAAGATGTGAAGAGAGTGCTATATAAAATGGACAGAGTCCTGGGCTCCAGACCTGATTTCTCTGTGTCTAAGCATTTCTGTGAGGTGAGTACAACAGAGTAGATGACCTACAATGCCCGTTCCAGGTTGGAGAATCTGCATACCTGGTGCTCTATAGCAAGCCATCTTAGTGACATGCACAAAGAAGGCTGGGGATGGTGGATAGGACCTGAGTACCAAGAATGTGGGATGACATTCTAGGGTTTATTTATTTATTTTTGAGATAGGGTCTTGCTATGTTGCTAAGGTTGACCTCAAACTCAAGGTCTTCCTCCTAAGAAGCTGGAACTGGGGGCATGTGCCATCATACCTGGCTCAGAAGAACATTCTTAATCAGAGGGGAAACATTAGTAAAGGTGATGAAGCAGGGATATGGCTAAAATGGAATTTGTGACCTGACCCACATGGAAGGACTAGCCTCGCTCAGTTGGATGTCTAGAAGAATTTGAGGATGCATGAGCCAGAAGCCTTTCTTGCACCCAGTTTGAGAAGTTCTGCATTAAAAGTTAAAAACTGTGATTTGAACTGTTAATTTAACATCAGAGATTATAAATGCAAAGTATAAATAAGACAGATTAAAATAGGAAGGATTGAACAGAAGGTGGATGGTTTTTATAGATCTATATATTGGTATTTTTTTCTTTTAATTACCACTGAAACAAAGACAGAAAATTTCAAGATTATTCAATGGAACTGTTCTCCTCCCCCAAAACAACGCTCAGAGCTTTGCAGACTTCACTTTGCAAAATGGCGTTGAAAGGGGCTGATGGAAGATGCCAGGGGAGGTGGTGATTAGGAGGTCGTGGGAAGCCTGGGATACCAGGCTTGAGGATGGGTGGCAGTGAGCATTTCTGTGTTCTCAGTCACAGTATGGCGGCTGAACTGGAGATTGGAAAGCAGAACTGGCCCAGAGTCCAGGTGACAAGGATGAAGCATGGAAGGCTGAGGAGCCCGACATAGGGTGAGTGATGGTTCTAAGAAGCCCCAGATGCACGGATCCTGTTTGCTGATTGACATGGGGCTGAGGGAGGAGCTGTGTTGCTCCCTAGGCATCCCGCAATCACTTGGGGAGTGGTGATTGTAGACTCCCTGAGGCTGAGCAGCATTAGGCAAAGGGCTGGCGAGGTGGGCAAACTTGGGCCTTCATAAGCCCATTCTGTTTCTTCCATGGTAAAAAAATAAAATAAAATAGGTGACTGCACCTATCTCTTGAGTTTAATAACGACTGATGAATTAGTGTGTATGAAAGTTCTGAGGACATGTTGGTCACTTTGTAAGTTCTCAGTAAATATTTATTTCATTCATCTATTTACAAATTCAGTGCAACTTGGGAGGGAAGTAATTAGTTCATTTAGGACCATATCAAACCGATTCTGAATAAAGAGATTGTATCTGAGGGGCTTTTTGTAGGATGGGACCACTCCTAGTCACTAGGCAGTGCCATACTTAAGGCTACAAAGTTCCAGAAGTCCCTTTCTTGACCTTCCTTTCATTACCAACCCCTTACACTGTGGTGCGTTTCTAGGTCTGTAACGTAGTAAATGACAACAGCAAACAGAAACGAAGGACAGGAGCAACATGAGGAAGGCATGTGATTGAATTGATACATTTACTCCGTGAACCATTCCGAGGACATCTGCGGGATGTGGCCATCCTCCTCTTCTCTGTGGCTGGACAGGGCCGTCTGCCCTGAGGCCACAGAGTTGCCTGGTCTTGGGAGATGCTCTCTCAGCTGCGAGTCTCCTGTGCCAGGAGCACTACCAGGCACCGTTTCTCAGGTCTCCTGATCTCTGCTTGGTTTGCATGTTGCTCAAATCGGATCCACCCTTCCAGGCTGGCCTCTTGCCTTTTTCTTAGGTCCAAGGGACCAATGTCTGCATACAGGTGAGGCACTTCGCTGAGTTGCTTTCATCATGACTGCCAGTGCTGTGTGCAGGGCTGCGAGCAAGCCACCACGCCACGCCATGCAGCAGCACTGGCAAGAGAGTTGCAAGCACTATAGCAAGAGCTAGGGTGGTGACTGTGAGCTCCGTGGAAAAGGTATCTTCAGTTGGACCTGGTGTGGACTTGGTTTGGTTTCCAATGGCTCTAGTAATCCCTGAGCCTAGTCTTCCAGCCATATCAAGCAGTGCACCCGACATGTGAGCCAGGGCATCTCAGACCCTGTGGACCAGCCACATTCCAGCTGAGTACCTCTGACTAACCTCAGTTGGTACCAGAATCTCTCAGCAAGCCCAGTCTGAACCCTGACCCAGAGAACCATGAGCCCTAACAAAATGGTAGTGGTTTTAAACCACAAAACATGGGGGTAGTTTGTTATGCAGCAATAGATAACTAAAACACTAGACATAAACGGAAGAAACTTTGCTGTCGGCTTTTGATAAATTTAGGACGATTGTGTGTGATTTACCCCAACCATCTGTTTCTGTCCATGATAATTTCATTCTGCTCAAAATTTGGATCAAGTTACCTTTTAACGGAGCTAAACCTTCACTTGGGTTCACTGACAGCTTCCTGAGCCTCAGCAAAGCTTTCAGGCTTCCCAGCTGTGGCCAAGCTGGCAGTAGAGTCCCGCCTCCAGCTGCAGGCACACTCAAGCTTGCCCCAGCACCACAGCTGCATGCAGCTACCTTCCACTGTGATTTTGCAAAAATTGCCACAAGTTGCAACTGTGGCTGCAGAAGTTATTTTGCATGGGCCTGGATAAACAATGTACAGATGACATTTTCTCAGGAGCCCCACATACCACAAAGGGCATCTTCGTATTTGTTGTCTTGCCTTCCTCAGAGGCAGAGTGCATTATTTCTACATGGCTGTGTCCACCATCTACAGGGAGATCTGGAACTAAGTCATTTTAAAATGAATAGGAAGTCAATGAGAATTGAATAAGACCAAGCCATTGTACTGTTTTGTTTTAGCTCTGGCTTAGGCGAAGTCCCCAGTTCCTGAATAGTATAGGAAGGAGAGTAGGAGTGGGTAGTGCCCTCAGGATCAAGTAAGTACCAGAAACGTGAGTGTCATTCTTTCAGTATGCCAACATGACTGGCATGGCTTCATAGTCAGAGGGATGTGGGTTCAGACCTGAGCTTACTATGTACATATAAGATATGTATTCTGAGCTTTAGTTTCTCATTAGTCAAATGGGTAAACCTTCCCTCAGTCAACCTCACAGGCAATATGAGGATGTCTTATTTGGGGCTTGATAGAAGCAGACGCTGAGACAAGGCTAAGTGCAGGTGGTTTATCAGGAAGAGGAGGGATCAAAGGTGGCAGAGTGGGCACTGACAAGGAAAGGATGACAACCAGCAAGAAGTTCATTATCAAGCCAGTTACCACGGTGGAAATTGCAGCTTCATCCCAAGGAAGAATCTCCGCAAAGGTGTAGACTTGATGATTACTATTCCCATTTTACAGATGAGGAAATGGAAGTACAGTGAGATATTAGACATCTTTTTCCAAGGTCGCAGTGCTATCAAGTGGCAGAATCAGAATTTAATCCAGGTTGCTGCCATAATAATGAAAACACACACACATGTATTTCTCTAAATTCACTGTAGAGCATGGTGTCCATGTCATAAATTATTTTTTTCCCTTTCTGTACCAGCATTCAACAAAGCAAATATTTGTATATGGCCATTTGGAAATTGGTATTGATAAATATACTATTATCAGCTTTAAAAACTTTAATTATATAATCCATTTATATCAAATTTTTAGCACATCCAAGAGATTGATAGTATACTGGTAGCTCTGGAGGGTAATTGGGGAATGGGTTTCACTGCTAAGGGCTACAGAGCTTCCTTTTTGCAGTGAGAAAAAATATTCTAAAATATGGATGGTGATGTTGCAGGACTTTGAAAATACAAAAAAAATGTTGAATTATACATTTGAAAAGTATGTGATGCTTTTTTTGATATGTGAATTTTATCTCAATAAATCTGTTTTTAGGAAGAGAAAATTATAAGTATTAAACTTTGTTCTAAGCATTTCTTAATATAGTTCTTTCTAAAGGCAAAATTCTGAATGGAAAAAAATAAAATAAAACCAGTATCCACCCTTCCAGGAATGTAAGATACTGCTTCATTCCAAATGCCTGTGTTAGTCAGTTCTCTGTCAGTATTAAAAAACAAAACAAAACTAAACTAAGATAATCAACTTATGAAGAGAAAAAGCTTATTTTGGCTCATAATTTTGGAGGGTTGAGGTCACCAGAGATTTACCCCATCACTTCTGGGCCGGTAATGAGGGAGTACACCATGGGAAGAGCACATGGCAGAGAAAAAACAGCTATATCAAGGCCAGAAAGCAAAAGAGAGAAAGAAGAAGGGGAAGGGCCCTCTGAGGACACACCTCCAATGACCTAAAGACCTCCCATTAGGCCCGTCCTCTAAAAAGTTCCACCACCTCCCAATAGCACCACGGGGGTGGGGGGGACTCAGCCTTTAACACCTGGGCATTTGGGGACAGTCAACATCCAAACCATAACACAGTCTAATTTTAAGGGGGAATAGTGACAGAGTGGAGTGTTTCCAGGGGAAGTAAAGAAGATGGCAACAGAACTCATCATCCCATGAAGAACAATTAAAAGACAAAGTTGTGGTTTGAAGAACAAATGCTTAGTAAGGACACAGGAATGCTCCTTAAGTATCTGAAAATGACTGACCCACTATTGATTCCCAACATTCAGAATTTGGAACAATGGATTGAAACTACCTTTGTGCAACATGAGGAGCAGCCTGCCTTGAGAAGTACCGAAGCTCTTGTCACTCACCAGGTGACAACTGATCATTGGTCAGGGATGTTGTCAAAGTAAGCTGTCCGTGGAAAGACCATAGAATGAATCGGACATGACTTTTCTGTGTTCATATATGAATACACGACCAGTGAAACTCCACATCATGTGCAAACACAAGAATGGAAGTTATACCCTATGTATGTGTGATATGTCAAAATGCCCTCTATTGCCATGTATGTATGAAAGAGCAAATTCGAAAAATAAGCTCTCCTTGTTGAGGACATTAACTAAGATGGCCTAAAAGACTGTTTCCAATTCCGGAATTTGGTGCTTCCAAGTTCAATTCCTAATATTTATTTTCATTATAAATTACATGGCATCATTGGGAAAAAATGACTGGTCTTTAGAATGGTGGCTTTCTGTAAACGTCCTCCCCCATGGCTAGTATATCCACTGTGACCAGAAGGGATAAGCTTAGCTGGGTGGAGACTGACTTCCCAGTGAAACAGTGTCTCTGAAGGGTCTGAATTCCTCAGAAGGTAGAGGAGGGAGGTGAGCAAGTCAGAGTCTGGATGGGCAGTCAGGAGGTGTGGATTCCTCTGCAGCTGGAGACTCACAGCCTAACTGACCACAGAGTAAGCTGACTTGGGACACAGGGTTTCTGGTAAGCAGGACTTTTAATGCAAAAACCTGGGGAAATGCAGGCTTGTCACTATAATGCTTATCTCAAAATATTAAATGAGAACTCTGTTTTTAACTAGAAAACAAGAAGCTGTACAGATTTCCTAATGCCTAAAAAACAAAAAAACAAAACAAACAAAAAACCTTCTGAGATGTATCTCAGAAGCCAAGGTGTTGAGACTTAAGCAGGTTGCAATGGAAGAAACTTTGAACCAGCAGATCTGGGGTTCCATTCATCCACTTTATACCTGTGTGACTTAGGAAATGTTCCCAACCTCTCTGAGCCTCAGTTTGCTCACCTGAGAAAGGAAGATGATGGCCGATTGTTGGTCAGGGTCTTACTCATATCCTTTATTTCAACCACCATCAATCTACATGATGAAATTAGAAAGTTTACTCCTTTGCAGATGCTCGCCATGTTCCTAGAGGATGACTAAGGGCCATGCTGAACAATCACCATGGAAGGTGACAAGGTTCAGGTGACTTGCTGACTAGGGGAGGTCAGCCGACTGGAGAAGAACAACATCTCTACAACATAATACCACGGGAAGTCCTGGGGTCCTGTCAGCTGACCCCGGGTCTGTTGACACCTGAGAAGTGTCAGTCCCTTCAGATGGCTCTAGGATTTGAAAAATGTTCCCACAAACTCAGAGGAAACTATATATTGATTAAGAGAAATATCCAAGTCACTGGGGGAACACTTCTGTTCCCAGAATCTGTAATGACCTGTTCCTGGGCCCCTTCTGCTTCTCTCTGATGTTGCTCCTGTGAGCAGCCTGGAACTCTGGACTCCGATGTCACCTGAAGTCCACCTCCCTCCCTCAGGACCCAGACTCCCTATGTTTTACTCTAATATCCTGCACCAGCTGTGCTTCTTTGTGCTGACTCCTGCTGTGGTCTAGACTCAGGTGTAAAGGGGCTGGACAGCCATCTGCTCTTTCTGGAATCAGAGCAATGACGTGGGCTTTGGAGGCTGGGATCTCAGGACTTGAGCTCCAATAAATTTCTGTGAACTGGAGTCTCTTCTTTCTGGTATGGGGCCGGGGGAAAGGGTTTCAGGGGGAGGGTGGATTCCAAAATTGGCTGATAATGGACATCCAGAGAACAGGTTTCTGGGACACTTCTATAGCACATTGTGAGCCTTCCAGATTGGTGATTCTCAAACTGCAGAAGCGTCCTCTAAAGAGCTTGTTAAAATGCAATTTCCTGGGCCCAATCTCCCTGCCTTTCTAATTCAGTACATCCCAAGAATCTGGATTTTTAAAATAAGCTCTGGGTTGCTTCTGCTCTGTGTACATGTTCTGTGAGTTTTATCTCTTAGAACCATTGTTGAGAATTGAATTGCTTTAAAGAGCTCTTCAGGCCAAGTTAGAAATATGTATCAATAACTTTTAGGGAATGAGAATTTAATTTAGTCTTTGGTGCTTTGCCTCAGGGTGTTACATCGGCCACGGTAGGCACTGTTTAGAGCTGAAACAAGCTTTGGGGTATATTTCATTTTCTGAATGTTTGGGTGTTGTTGAAATGGAAAATTGACCCAGGATCTTAGATAGCTTTGCAGATACCGCCTCTGCTGTCTTCCCGACACTCAGGAGAGTGCAGCACAGAGGTTGTTGTACCAATTTTATGGATGGGGAACTTGAACAGGCTTCTGGGCTAAAGGAAGACCAACAATTGTGCTATTTCCCTGTGTGAAAGCATTTGCTCATGTAGTCCCTTAGCTGGCCCTCCCTGGAGTCTGTGGTGCAGGTAGCTCCATTGACTCTGTTCCAAGGTGAGGACATCCAGGTGCCACAGAAGTCCCGGGATCTGCTTAAGTTCACAGAGTGAGTCAGTGTGGACTGACTGAGTCAGATGGGACTGACAGCTCTGGAGCATGATGGCATACTGTCCTCAACACACATGACCACCGGTCTAGACATGATGGCCCACTGAGGCTGGAACCAGGAGACATTGACCTTTGGCCTGAGGCCACCCTGCTCCCAAAATTTCAGATCCATTGTAGAGGGTGCTGGATGTGCCCATCACATCAGTGGCCTATCTCTTTGTCCTGTAAAGGAGGGAAAAAAATGAAACGGGATCAGCTCCCAGGGCTTCCTTTACAACTTCCCAGGTACCACAAGGACAGGTGGTAGATTAATTTAAAAGAAATGGGGGAAAAGTGGGAATAAAAAAAGTGACAAATAGGCTGGAGTGTGCTCCTAAAATTGTGACCTCCTGGCTGGGTACCTGCATTCTGTTGCAGACTCTTCTGTGTCAGCCTCTGTCTCACACCTCCTGGGGCACACAGGAACCAGTGCCTCTCCTCTTTCCACCCCCCTGGTAGGCAGGGGAAGATGATGGATCTCCTCCTGGGTAAACATTTCCACAGGAAGCATTTATCAGATGTCAGCAGGGGCAGCGGAGCAGACTGGGGAGGGATGGGGCTCAGAGAAGCATCTCTCCTCCCAGACCAAGGTGCACATTCACGCCCTCTCTGTCTTGGGTCCCTTCTCCTTTCAGCCATCTGTCCTAAAACACTCCACATCCAGGCCACCCTTTGGTTCTGAATAACAGGCTTCTGACCAGCTGGGCATCTGTAATGTAGATTGTCCAAATCCTTCTAGAAAAAAAAAAAACAAACTCTGAAGAAAATGTCTGGAAGACCCCAGCAAATAAAACTCCATCATCAATGCCTCTGTGCTGCACTCTACCAGGCTTGGATACTGTAGCCATCCCCTACTCTGAGGGGGCTGGGACTCATACCCGACTTTCTGGCAGGGAAGGCTGACAATGCAGAATCATGGAGTGGGGTGGGGGTTCTGTTGTGGCCTTCACCCTCACTGCGTCTGCCACTCCCTCAGACCTCCTGCAGCCTGATAAACTTTCTCTGCCGAGAACCAGTATAGTTCAACTCCAGGGGGATTTGAATCTCCACTCTGCCCACTATTGATGGTGTGACCTTGGGCAAGTCACTTAACCTTCCTGTACTCAGTTTCCTCTCTATATTCTTTTTCAAGACTTACTGAGGATTATCTCCGTCCTATGCACTGTGCTAGGTGCTGGATAAAAATGTTACCTCCTGAAAAAAATTTATTGTGAGGCTTAATTGAGACAATTCAGTAAAACACTTCGCAAAATTGTTGTTCAACAGGACTCCATAACTGTTCGTGAATTCAGTTATTCTTCCTACTATTATTTCTATGTTTGTCTTTGGGAAAGAGTAGAATCTGGAAGGTTGTTAGAAGTCTTTCATGCCTCTGACCCTCCTAGGCAGTCACTAGATCTCCTCTTGTCCTCTGTCCTGGTGGAGAGGTACTGTCGGCCCAGGCATCTCTGTGGAACCACGGTCTGTTCACTCACTCGCTCTTTTAATCTTTTGATAAAAATGCATTGAGAGTGTCCTTTGTGCTGGCACATAGGTTAAGCACTCCGGAAGATGCAAACAGAATTAAGAAGGGCACCAGTCTTTGGCAACACCCAGAGCGGGTGGAGGTTGCAACTCAAGTTAAAAACAAAGCTAGAGAGCAGACCGAAAGTAGGTCTCCTTCTTCAGCTGGGGGTCTAGAATATCTGCCTGGCATTTGGACTGTGCTTTGAGGAAGAGGAAAGCTTTGGTGAATCCTGTAGAGGCGGGAAGAAGGGACATGCAGAGCTGTGAGGTGCTTGCCAAGGCAATGGCACTTGAGCCCAAGGAAGCAAAGCCCCTGGTGTCCAAGCTATCTCACTAGCTAACTGTGTAAATATTTTGAAGGTTACAACGTGTCATCAATAATCCTTGTGGGCCATTTTCCACATGCATTATATTATTTGAATTTCATAAAAATGGAGTCAAGCAGAGAAAGATTTATTATGTCTCTTGTCTAGATGAGGAAACTGTGAATTAGAGATGAAAGGATTTAGTTCACCAAGGTGGTCAGTGGGGATGTGGTCACCAAGCTCAGGACTGCTGGTTCCAAATCCAGGGTGCTGTTGATGGCATCGAGCTGACCTTTCCACCCTACCCCCAGGCTGGAAAGCTAGTCACTGGGGCCAGAGGAACTTCAGGCTGGTCCCTTCACCTTAGTGATACCCCAGGACTCTGCAGTAACATCTTTAGAAGTCCCCTGATTCCATCTGATGGCTGCCAATTGCCCTTTGATAATCACATCTGTACAGAGTCACCCTTCTAAATCCTGGATCTAATCACACCATGCTTTTTACTTAAAAAAGAGCTCTGCCTCTTCTGGGTCACTTATTACCTGAACAACTTGACCTGTTCTTCTAGGCCCTTTGGGATCCATCCTGCCCCTTTGACCTCCACAGCCTCCTTCCTTGAGGGCCTCCTTTGTGCTTCCTGTGTGTGAGATGCTGAATTTCTTGGAATTTCCAAAAAGCCCCAGGCTGTCCTCCCATAGCTTTATACCCATATGGGCTCTGGAGTCATACTACCTGGGTTGAGAACTCAATCATCACTTAAATAGTTCTGAGATTGAGAACAGCTCCTTGGCCTCACTGTGCCTCAGTTGCCTTATCTGCAAAATGGGACTGATGGTAGGATCCATTGTATGGGGCTATTGTGCAGACTCAATGATTTCATGTATTTCAGGATTAGACCAAGACCTGACAGAACTGGTGTTTGATAAATGTTGTGGCTATTTTCTCTGCAGGAACCCCTGTGCCATGAATGAATGCCTCATGAATGTAGGCAGGTCTCCTGGGCTCCTTACTATCCCTGCTGCATCAGGGACAGCTGCCCTAACAGTCGGGTCAAGTGCCTGCCTCCTTCTGTCCTGCCTTCTCAGGTGCCACACACGCCTCTTACCTGCCCAAGTGTCATCTTGCTAGAGTTGGTGGTCCTTGGAGGGCACAGATCTTGTCATTATCAGGCTAGGCAACATCTGAGTCACCATAGAGATTGCCACACTTATTCTCTTCCTGACACCCACAGTGGGCCCTGATGTAAACTGTGGGTGTAGGAATGGTGCAGAGCTGGCACTGAGGACCTTGCTTGAGCATGGCACTGACATGTTGGATGACCGACCACGGACACACACCCCTCCACTCTTTAGTTTCCCAGGAAAAAAAATGGATGTCTGTCTCCCCTTGTCTGACAGGGAGTCCCAAGGAAAGCAGTACCTGCTGGACCACACAAGGCACAAGGGGAAATGAGACAAGATTTAGAAATGAGATACTGAAGAAATAAATGTCTTATTATAAACTGCTAGTAGGTTGCCAGAGCAGGGTCAAGTCAGGGCCCCCCACTTGCCTGAGCTCCTTCAAGGCCCTGTACCTCACATTGTATGTGCTATTCTGCACTATTTTCCTAGAATCTGACTCTCCAAATTGTGGAAGCCTAGCTCCCCATCTCAAGATCTCCCTGGAGCCAGCTCTCCCCCATGGTGAGCTCCCTCTGCTTCTCTGTTTCACCTCTGGGCCTCCTGAGCACAGTCGGAAGACTAGGAAATGAGGCCCATTGCGCTCTGCCCTCTCCGGGCTTCTCCACTTAGAGGATGCCCTGAGAGCCACTCTGGGGAGTTGCCTGCTTGTCCAGCATTCATGCAGACACCTCCCACCACCACACCCCTGTGCCTCCCACAGGGTTTCTGGGGTCTTTAAAACTTCCCTCTTGGTTTTGGCTCAGAGCTGTGCCTCATCTCTCCCCACCCCCCACCCACCCCCTCTTCTCCCTTTCTGTCCAGCCTCCTGGAATGCAGTCCTGCCTGGACTTTGGGCACTCAAGCCTCCTGCGCCCGCCCTGCAGGTCCTGGCATCCAGGACCACACCCGACAGCTGGGGAAACAGCCCCTGCCCCGCTGCACAACAGGCCACGGGGTCAGAAAGGCCAGGCCTGTCCCTTGACCCTATCACTGTGTGGGAGGACGGGTGGGGTGGTGTGAAACACATTCAAACTACTTTCTTGGGGAGGAAATGTCATTTTCATAGTGTGCTATTTGAGGGCTAGGTATACACACCCTCAGCAAATCAGCCTGGGGTTGTACTTTGGAATCCCTTGGGG